CAGGAGAGCACGAATGGGAATTGAACTGAAGATTGTTAAGTTCGAAGGAGCTCAGCATTGTATAGTCCGTTGTAAACAGACTTGGAATAAATTTGCCACAAATTTTCAATCTTTTAATTAACTCCTTCGCCAGTTGAGGCTCAATCCGCCAGTTTGAAGGAAAATTTCGCCAGGAATAGCTAGGATATTCCTTATCAGGATCCTGATGAGTGGCTATCAGTGATGTAAGATTACTTACAATGACTTCCAAGCACATACTCGTAAGTGAAGGCATATTACCTAAAAAAATCGAAATTCTAATATTAGAGTTTGAGGGAAAGTCAAGATCAAATAAATAAAAATGGGCTATTTTCACGAACTGTCCATTTTCGGCGTAAAACCACCAAGCCGCAGAGATTATGACGGATGTGTTTACATTCTCATCCTTAAATAGTGTTCCGAAGCTTCATGCGAAGTGGATTGGTGGACTTAGATGAACCAATCCCAGATGGGCATTTGTTGTCCAATTAAAATGAGGTCAACTATATCTATGAACGAATTTTAGCCTTACAGATTAGGTACTTAACAAAACGAAATTGAATTACATTTCATCAAGCCTATGTATTCATAAATATGAACATGAAATTAATTGATTAAATGCGAATTAAAATTTCCGATTGTGCAACTTGAACGAAATGAGAGTTTCCCCCGTTATCCATTAGCTTGAACTTGCTGGCACTCTCATATTATGTCAATCGGAAATATATATCTGTATATACATATTCCAGCGCGAATTTATTTTTGAGACCAATTTTGCTAGAAACTACGAAATAAGGGGGAGAATATTCACAATTCTAATGAATGCTAGTCTTATAATTTCAGGTCAATATGTAACTATCGCAACACTTGCAAATCTTAAATGTCCTTTGATGGAGTATTCTGGTCAAGAGTCATGAATTTTAGGTTATTTTTGAAGTGCCGTAAAAAAACAAGCAATATTTTTATCATCAATTTTTTATATATTATTTCTTCACGTTAGAAGAATACAAAATAAATGAAAAGGTTAAAGAAAATTCAAAATTTCGTTATTTATCAGCTGATGGAGTGGGGCGTCTCAAAAATTTGGTGCGTGACCATACCCACGATTTAAACTCTCCTATCAATCTGAAATCAAAAAATAAAAAAGATTATCTATCTACAATTATAGATAGTAAAAATGAAAATTTGTTGGTGGCCGTAGTTCCGAACTTGAACAAGTCCCTAAAGAAGGCTCTCTTCAAATTTCAAGTAAATCGGTTGGGCAGAATCTGAGAAATCGTGGGTATCAGATTCACAAAAAACAGTTTTGAGAAAAATGCGTTTAAAGTTTCAAGTAAAATTTTTTGCAGTCTAAGTCATAAAATTATATTTTCAACTTACATTTATTCAATCTGCCATTCCTGCTGCATATATCGGACCTTCATCGACTTCGAAAAAAACTATTTTCGGCGTCTCTGTTTACTATTCGAGCAGTTCTGGCCTCCTTTGATGCGCTGGATGTTCGTATCTCGGAGCGGTCAATCCGGGCGCTGTCTCATCTGATAGCAAATGCATGTGCTTCTGGACCAATTTTCACTCTCATAATCGTTATAATCTTCAATGTCGGTATAAATCCTTTTCAGTTTGATGTTCCCTCCCCTCTGTGAAGCCCGAAGTCAACTAAAGGGATAATGATAACTATCAAAACACCTGACATTTTTGTATAAATAAGTCCTATTGCGGACATGCTCATGATAGCTATGATATTGGCAGTATTATCCAGAACTTAATTTTTTGCCATACCAAGATAATAAATACAAATGAGTTAATATTTCCGTTCATCAAAAAAGTGGAAATATTATCTGATCTGATTTTGCCGCCGATTGAGTATTTCATCAATTTTGCTACCATTAAGGCCTGGTTATTGTTGGCACGATTTATTCAACTGACCACATTTGATATCTATAAATGCGAATTTAAAAGGTCATCGTAGAACATGTGTTTACCTCCCCCCCCCACCTTCACCCCCTATTGACCTCCATGAATAAATTTTAATTGTTGAATTGACCTACATTAAGTAAAACTCTCTCAGCTTACCCCAAAGTCATTTTGATTAACACCAGCTGTTCGAGGCAAATGGAATATAATTGCAAATTTTATAATAGACGATTTTATTGCTGTACTTATTCAATCACCAGGCCACTCTACAGTACTTATTATCGAACTAATTAAAGTATGCTAGTTAAGGACACAAGATGAATCTATGCGAAATATGAGGTCACCATATCATTAAACACCACTCTGTGGCTACGATTATTAAGTTTCAGAAATTAGAAATGACCTAGTAAAATGTCGAAACTAAAATCAATAACCTATATGGGTTCTTTTTAATTTCCGTTTACCAAATTGGAGAAGGTTCATAAAGTAGTGGGGAAAGGAAGAGTTTTGGACATCAGAATTGAAAGTCCTTCATCTGACTTCACTCTTTTCATAATTTAGCTTTGAGTAGTAAGATTTCAGTTGATGTTGCACACATTTTTCCAGTTATCATTGCAATTTCTGCCAATTGAGCGAAGGAATTTACTAGAATACTGATCATTCACCCAGGGCCTTGTCATCGCACTTTCATTTTCTAAACGATGATGACATCTTGGCCCGTATACTATAGTTGCGTACTAAGAATTAATTCAAATAAATGAAAAAGATGTTAAATTGATGCAGTTTAAAGAGTTTGCTATCATCAGTGGATTGGATGCTTCCTAGTAGAGCAAAATGAATTCATATCTAAAACTAATTGCGTTGCTATTCGTGGTTCAAGCAGAGAAAAAACAGAACCATCATGTCCTATTTGCCATCCATTTGCTCGTACTATTGAAATACCGATTTATTCGTGATACACAACCTTAGGTGTTTAAAATGGTTGTAACTCCTAAGTACCAAAGCTGACATTTCAAAGTTTTATAATGCTGAAAAATTAGAGTGCAATAGGGTGAGCCCACTGTTGTAATATGCCAGTTGGAGACTACATGATCAGTCCTCAACATACTCATTGTCTGAAAGTACCATCTCAGTTTCACTACTTACTTTTCAGACATGATGAAAGCGTTTTATCAAATCTTCAATGGTCAGCACTTTCTTCTGCCAAATCAAGGCTCATTAGTTTGATATTCATCAATATAAATCCGATGACGCGAATGGACAATCACATCGATTAATTAAGGTTTGTAACTCTTATGTCCCAAGGGAGCCTTGAGTGCCAATGACTTATGAACACGATTATAAGAAACCAAGTAAACATTGTGCATTGAAGTTAGATGAGGAAGTACATGTAAGCGAGCTCGGCAATAGGGAGTGGGTTTCAGTTTAAAGAGTAGTACATTTTGTTGAATCATGCTTCGGCAAATTTTGAATTTGCCTCATTTTAATCTACCAATAGACAATCCTTTACTTAAAGTAGCCAATAATCTTGAAATTTATATTTCGACTTTCTTTGTGTGACCAATCTGTGCGATAATAATCATTTTTAACATAGGACCCATCCAATTAATATTTACCTTGAGATATTCAATGACTTAGAAGCTTGTGTTGAAATATCTTCGATAAAACCTCGAGTATGTTTGTGGGTCACGTCATCGCATGCGCGGACAAGAGCACGCAGCCAATAGCAGCTCAATGGCCCTCGTTTGTTATACCGAAAGCCGCCATGTTGTATGACTGAGTTTCCTTCCTGTACACACCTCTTGCGTGGTTTATCTACTGAATAAACGTGCTCCGTGCTAAACGTCTGTTTCCTTTCTGAATAAACGTGCTCCGTGCTGCACGTCTGTTTCCTTTACCTATAGCTTAGCTGGTTCTGGGAGTCTAGCTAGATGTTGGAAATCTTGCCATCGAGATTTCTGAGTCAGTCAGGCTTTACTAAGGTGTTTAGCTGGTTCTGGGAGTCTAGCTAGATGTAGGAGGATCTCCCATTGAGATTTCTGAGTCAGTCAGGCTTTACTAGCGTAGCCAGAGATTTCTGAGTTAGTCAGGCTTTACTAGAGTAGCAATATTTCTGAGTCAGTCAGGCTTTACTAGCGTAGCAATCCGTGGAGCTATAGCTTAGCTGTTCTGGGAGTCTAGCTAGGTGTTGGAGAATCTGCCATAGAGATTTCGGTCAGGCTTTACTAGCGTAGCAATCCGCTACAATGCAATCCGGTCAGGCTTTACTAAGGTAGCAATCCGTTACAATTCTCAACCGGTCTGGCTTTACTAAGGTAGCAATCCGCTACAAGTCTTTAACCAAGGCTTTACGAAGGTAGCAATCCGCTACATGTTCGAGACTTAGGGAGCAATCCGCTACAAGTCTACAAAACAATATACATAACTTCCTACATGCTGTTCCCCCCTTTTGTCAATTTGTAAATAACTTTGACAGCAAATAATGTACTACATTCTATGATTTCCTTAACAGAATCATATTTAAATTTCATTAATTATTTATTCTTTGCGGATTCGATCAATTCGCTTTCGTGATACCCCTAAATAGTTACTGCAGTTATTATGCTAACCTATTGTGTTTTGATATTTATTTTCTAGTAGGATGCTACCGAGATGGTGCAACTTACTTTCTTCCCATCAAATCTGTAAAATGATTGGCTTTAGTTTTGCCTCAAAATCCGCTTCATCCTCATCAAACTTAGCTCAACTTCGTAAAGCAACTGGCCACCCATTCGGATTTTGTCGAGAAGCCCTGTCAGTTTGTGATGGTGATTACAATCGGGCTTCTGCGTGGCTCCAGAATGAAGCCACTTAACGTGGAATGGCTAAGGCAGAAAAGCCAATGACACAGGGCCTTCTTGGAATGATCTCTTCTCCTCGATGTGTTGCAGTTGTTGAAGTAAATTGTGAAACCGACTTCGTTCCCAGAAATCAGGATTTTCAGTCTCTTGTTGCTTCCTCAGCTGAATCACTGTTCAAACACTTATTGGTATGTATTCATGTTTTAAACAAAACCCTATCTCGAGACAATAAGGAAAATCGACGTGAAGTTAGCATTTTCAGACCCCCGTATGCCAAGTTAATTCCTGGGAAAGCTAACATGCAATGCTTTGTATAAACTGACAAAACAGTATACGTTGAATATGATCTACTTACTATTAATCTTTTGGCAACTATTTTGTGACGAGACATCAATTGTGAACTCCAGAAAAGAAGTAGACGTGTTTGGTTTGCAAATAGGATCAGCTGCTTACGTACCAATTCACTTAAGATATAATTCGAATTTCCTGTTATATATCTTCTGTTTACATTTCATGACTTTATGAAAACTGAGTAGTTTATAATTTATTATCATTATATTGCCATAGTGATGGCTGAACTCTACTACATACTTAATTGAATTTGTATTCCCTTTATGATATCAATTCGATTCAATAAGACATTGTACTGATTGTCGCCGTTAGTTTTAGAGGAATTGAAAGCTAATTCACTTGTAACGATATTTTTTGCAATAGTTTTAACATCGTGCAGATATTTCAATGTCCTAAAGAGCCGAGTCTTCATATTTGCTCCCTATTTTCGGCTACATATACATTAAATTTGGATTAAAGTCAAATAATTTAGGTGGGGTGCTACAATCTATGAGAACAACGCTTTATTTAAAATTTTGTCAGAACTTACATAGTTTTAGAAGAGCAATCTTAATTTAAGAAAATACGATAGCAGTAGGTATAATCAATTGTTATCGGTGCATTCACTTTTCAGGAAGCTAACCAACCCGGTACTCGCCAGTTCTCAGAAGAAGATCTGAAAACCATTCCGAACGTCGTTGGATCTCAACGACAAACAATCGGTGAGCTCTTAGCAAACGTCATTGGATCACCTGGGGAGAACATGGCCATTCCTCGAGGCATAGGAATGGCTCTCTCAGATGATAAAGCCAACGAACTCAGCCACCTCATTGCTTATTGTCATATGAGCAATGCTGGGATCAAGAAAGGCTT